AAATATTAGAATTGTTTTACGATCGCGTATATAATGATCGTGAAATTAAGATATTTCTTATTATAAAGTTGGATATTGATATGGATAAGGGTTTCTTTGCTTTTCCCTTTGAATAAAATTATTTTAAAGCATAAACCAAAGTATTGAAATAAATCATATTATACGACAGTAAAGGCATGAAATAGGGTGGGTGGCGCCATCTAGCGTGTTTGGAAAAAACGTTCGGCGACGTAGTACTGGCGGCGGACGTTACAATATATATAAACACTTATAAAATGTTATCATGCTGACTAATTGATAGTATATGTGTCATAAAGCAACGCAAATTATACGCGTAACAACTTTTAATAAAAGTTTGTTTCTCTCTCAAAAGCGGTTTTAGATAAATTACATACACCAGTTCTTTGTACTTACCATAGGCAATAATATATATGTATGTATGTATGTATAAGTTATAAATTTTTTTTTGTTTTCTAAGCGCTAACAGATTTAAACAAGTCACAACGCGTTTAGTGCAGACACTTGGCTGTTTACTCCCGGCCGGCCGTCCCCTCCATAAGTCGAGAGTGGGAGGGATTGGTGGGAGTGGAGATCGAGTTGGCAGTTAATAAACGGTCACAGGAGTTTTTCCCCATTTTATTTACTTGCTCGTACTGAGTATTACGAAGAAACTACCAATAGATTTTGCTTCAAAGCGGAATTTCAAATTTTATGTCGCAAAAATCTTCTTTTCCTGATTGTGAGCGAAGCAACGGGGAGAATCATGGGGGGTTTTTAAACATGATTAGCAGCAACTAACTGAACATCTCTGCAAATTTTCAGATTTCCGCGAATTATTTCCAGGTTGAAAGCTATATTTCCTGGGCTAGACGTCATTGTCGTGCGACTTCGCAATATATAAAACTTTGCCACATTGGCATTGGCAATAACTTGAAATTAGCAGCATAAAGTTATTGTCAACGCCAACGTGGCAAAGTTTTATATATTGCGAAGTCGCACGACAATGACGTCACTGTGTGCATCTAAAGAAGCACGAAAATCGCTGTAAAGTGTGCAACTCTCTTCTAGGTTTGATTTGAGAGATTATTAAGGCAAGTGATATAGTTTTATCTCCTCGCAATTATGACTGATTTCGCAATTCCGTATAACGTTTTGTGCGAAATTCTTTTCGATCGTAATAAATTGTTAGAACGGTTTCTATATGAACAGTACACGTTACAGGATAACCAACTTTCTGAAATAATTTCTGAAATTAATAAAAGATTTTTACCACATTTTAATCAACGATTAAAATCAGTACATCATATTAAAACAAAGTTTTTTCAAAAATACAAAAATTGGATGGATGGTGTGTTCGTGGCGTTCGTAAAATTAAATGGCGATTTAGAAGGCCACAATTCATCTTTAAATAGGAGTGGAGGCAGGCCAAAGAAGACTTTTGAAGAGTGCTGTAACCGTGCAAAAAGATATAAAATTCAGGAACTCCGAAACACATACTCTCAAAATCTTATTGACGTTTCTGCTTCAGTAATAACGAATTCAGAATTTACTGATACAGCCTTTAATGCTGATTCTGCTTTGGCGTTGATAACACAAGCCAAGCTATCCAAATATCAATACGAAATTCTCCAAAAAGCAACTAAAGATATTGGCCATAATATATGTATTTCCAAGTTATCGAAAGATAATAAAGGCCAAGAAGAAATGTTATCCAAATAATATCGATGTTTCGGAAAAATCGGCAAAGGTCAGTTTACAAGATTTGCTTGACCACACTTCTAGTAGAATTTTGGGAACCAAAACTCAAGACGAAATTAAAACATTACAAGAAGAACATCTAATTCTACATACAAAGTGGGGCTGTGATGGAGCATCTGGCCAAAGTGAATATAT